ATCAACGCCGTCAAAGAAGAAAGTTAAAGAGATACCGCGTTCAAAGAAATTTGTCCTCTCACGATTTCTAGCATGTATATACAAGTACTTATTACATTTAAATTGCTTATCATTTATTTTTTCATTTCTGTCGTCTAACGATCGCAATTGAGAGGCGATAGAAATTTCTCTAATTGAAAATATCCCTGTTTAATTTATATCGATAATTATATACTACTTATCTCGTAGCGAATTCATTCTTGATTATCAAAATTTAGATTATACGTTATCTTTTATCTATTTTTTTTTCCTTCTCATCTCTTGATCAGTTGTTAAAGTAATTAACGAAAAGCGTTTGGCAAATTTTACTTAACTTGCTGATGGAAATTTTGTAGCATAACAGAAGCTTGCATTAATGATTTCGACGTAGAATCGCGATATGGGTCCTTTTTTAAAATCAATTACATGTTACTGGCTGTGATTACGACGAGCGTCATGTATCAACTAGAGAGGCCCACCTACCATCTAAATCAGTTGCAGGAGCCCTTAATAGCCCGAGCTCCGGAGACGCGAGAGAGCCTTATCGAGGATTTACCGGCCGCTCGCTTAGATAGTACAAGATTTAAATTCTTTATCGTTACCGTTATCCATCCGTCTTCCCTCTTTTTCGGAGCTCACCGAGTGGATCCCCTCTCCATTTCCTCCCCACCCTACACTCATTCCATCTCTTTTCCTCTATTTTCCTTTCTCAAAAGCTTTTTTCGTCTCCTTCTCCTTCTCCTTCTTCTTCGTCCTTCATAAATCCTTCTTACGTCTCCCTTCGTACCTTAGCTACAAACTTTTACTCGAGAAAGGTCCTACGCTATCAAAATCATCCAACGTCTGCCTACTACTTCTTTACTTAACATCCAAGTAGAATCCATTCTTTCTTGATTTTAGAAAATAAAGAAAGATTTTCCTTTCTCATCTCCATCTAACGATTCGTTAGAGATAACAAACATTTTTGTAATTATCTTCATTTCCTAGGATTTATTACAATGAAAAAGATAAGCTCAAAAACGAGAATTTTAATAATAATAAGAATAGAAAGCCGCAAGAAAGATGGAATTAACGCGTTGGGAAAGAACTTACCAATGCATTCTCAAATTTCGAATATGTGTAAAGTATTCTGACCGGATCCATCTCGGGTGGTTCTCTGAAAGAATCAAAAGAAAAAGGAAAAGAGGAGGAGGAGGAGGAGGAGGAGGAAGAAGATGTGGCGGATGTGGAGGTTGATCGAGCTAGCTCGTAGAAGAGAGCAACGAAGGGAGAGCTTCTTCTCGATGCTGTATCAATTCATTAGCGCATTACGGTTAAAATAAAAGTATTCACGTATCTACGGCATGCGGCGTATCTCTTATGAAGAGGAGGACGGAGTGGTCGACCGGTTTTCTGCGACTCCTCCTCCTCCTCCACCCTGTTCCTTCCTTTTCTTTACCTTCCTTCTCTAGCTCGTTCACCGGGTCGACCTTCATCGTGATTTGCTGGCTGGAGACCGGCGTCCAGCGACTCGAAGTCGTCATTATGCACCGAGAATGCTTGAAAAAGAAGAGAAACGCCGACGCTGAGGGTAAATAAGAAAGAGAGAGAGAGAGAGAGAGAGAGAGAGAGAAATATAAAGAAGAAAACAGGGACACCAACAAGGAAAGGTTCTTCTCGAAGGAAACCGACGACGGCCTTGAGGCAGATCTTATCTACACGTTGAACGTCTTCGGTCCCTGATAAGCAAAATTGTCCGCTCGTAATATGCTTTACAGAGTCGCCCTCCCACCTCCCCACCACACCCTTCTGTTTATCTAGTTTATCCGTTGCTCGTGTCTATTCCTTTAAAACGTGAACGCCACCACCACCAGCAGCATGCGCTTGCTCGCGCGCACTTCTTAGGAGAAGAGTTGGGAGAAGGGTTGGTGTGTTGGCTACGTAAGAAGGAAGGGTTGTATCTGTTTCTCATTGCTTGCGATGGCGTGCACACATTCGATGTGGTACTCTATGATACCGAATTAGCGATCCTACGAGACCCTGGCGAACACAACTTCGAGTTTGTGTCTATTAAGTATTCGAACTGCTCGACGTCCTCGAACATAAATTCGTGTGCCGTCGTAGAACGTAGATAAGGCATATACGTATGTATGGGTGTTTCTGTATGCGTCGGACACGTACCACCAGTCGCATAGTAGAAACGTATACCGGTATTTCTAATTAATGCGAAAGCAAGTTAAAAGAAAGCGAGAAACGGATACGCCTTTAACGATCTAGTACATCGTTGCGGACATTACGCCGACTTTGTATTATGTATGTCTGCAATTTAATGGAAATACAAAATGGAGGAAGGATCCTATTTGCTTAGATTCCAACTGCTGTTATCACCCTTTAGAAATTCTTCATCGAATTTTCTTTTTCTTTTTCTCCTTCTCCTCCTCTGCTGCTGCTGCTGCTGCTGCTGCTGCTGCTGCTGCTGTGGTTGCTGGAATATCTATTTAAAGAAAGTGAACCTTCTGAATGTACGTGTAATAAATAAGTAAACGTTGAACTCGAGTTATTGTTTTTTTTTTTTATAGTTTATAACATATATATTTATTTGAGCTTTAATTGCATTTTAAAATACAACCGAAATAATTAAATAATGACAAATCTGGTAAAATGGTTTCAAGAGTCGCGTATACATGATGCATAATCTTTGTGGTTGCTTGTATGTAAGTCGGTAGGTACGTTTCGAGCATATCTCTGTCGCACGGTATTCCTTTTTTTTTTTTTATCATTTCTTATTTTCTCACTCCCTCTCTATTTCTCTCTATTTTGTTGTGTTCCGTGTCTCACTCTTTCTCTTTCTACCTAAACTTTATTCTCTTTGTATATATGTATTTACGTGTGTAATACGTGTGTAGGCGTTTGTTCTCTGCCGAAGAGTATGTATATGTAAATGTACGTGTGTTTCTATGTATATTTTCGTGTGTATGCTCGCACCCACGTAGATTTCGTGTTCGTTCATCACACTTTCAGCAGTCGTATATAATTACAATAATAATATTAATATTATTATTATGTCGATAAATACTTTTTAAAGTCCGCGATGGAAGAAGTAGAGTTTACAAGAAATACGTATACAAGTGTGTTCCGTTCTTTACCGGCCCACCTCGCCGGTGGCCGTACGCAGCAGCTGCCTCTTCTGTCTCTTTTTCTCTTAACCTTTCTTTCCATTTCTAACTCATTCACTCTCACTCTCACGCGTTCTTCCAACCATTTTTCCATATCCATCTTTCTCTTGTACTTGACTTTCTTCCCTACTTTTTCATATCACATAGCATTCGCGCACGCACACACACATTCAAACACATTCGCGCACCCCCACATATATACACTCTCTATCTTTTTTTCTCCTTACTAGCTGAATTCATGCTCAATGCCCTAGTAATGTTAGAATCATCACACGACACTTTCATCGTCTATCACCCTCTCCCATTTTTTGTTCTCTTTATATTATAATAATCGTAATCGTTAATCAATATACACAATATTCGCAGTAATTCGAGTGACAATAATGACAATATTTTACACGTAAAATGACGCATCAGCTCGCTCGGCGCAATAAATATTATTTCAACAAAGAAAATTTACAAAGGTTTCTCTCTCACTCTTTCTTTCTCTCTCTCTCTACACGTCATTCTAAGCGCCGAGAAACATGGATCAACCTTTTTTTTCAACCCTCACATACATTTTCCTTCCTTTCTTTCTTTATTATTTATATTTCGTCCTAAACAATCTCACACTCGTCGGCTCGATTTAACTTTCGTCATTTTAATTAATCAAGAGCCTCATTATTATATATTTTTTCAGGTTTTTTTTTTCACAACACGCAACATTTTCTCGGAACTATCTCGCATACTTTCGTTTATTCACATGCATTCAACTGTCGCACAATTTCTTTCTCTCTCTATCTTTCTTTCAAACTACTTGTTCGATTCATATACTTCCGATCGATTAGCAGTCATAGACCTTCGAAGAGGGCTTCTTATTTCATTCATTTTTCATCCCCGAGCGGTCTTATCGGTTTTCACAATTTTTTTCTTTTTTTCGTGACAGTAAGTATCAACAAAGAAATTCCTATACAGGGGCGAACCCTAAACCTATCCTAAACGCTAATAAACTACGGTTCTTACATTCTAGAGGTATACATGCTGACGACCTTACGACAGGTGATAGGTAAGCTGTTCCATTAGTTTCTTACTCTCTTTCTATCTCCCCTTCTCTCTCTTGCACTTTCTCACGTCTTTAGATACCAATATTATAGTTACTTTTGTCTCGTCTCTCTCTCTCTCTCTCTCTTTCTCTCGCTTTCGTTCTTAATATTTCTTACTCTTATTCTTACTCTCATTCTCTCTCTCTCTCTCTCTCTCTCTCACGCTCGCTCTCTCATCTCTCGTCGTAAATGTCCTTAAGTATTTATAAAATCACAAACTTGGCCGCGTGCCGAGTCTCGTGACTCAGCAGTGCCGCGAGATATGGTGGCATCACAATTTAATTAACGCTCGTTCAACACCCACTTCATCGTCACACCCTCTAACATTCTCTAAGTAACAAAAAAAGAAAACAGTAATTGACAGGAACGGATACAGTATCGAGTTTCTCTTATTAGTTTCATTTCTTAGTTTTTTTTCTAAGTTTCATTTTTTCACAAAAAGTTTTTTCGTAAGAAGGAATGAAATTTGAAAACAAAAACAAAAATGAAGAAAATTGCAAGAAGATTCTGTTTTTTTTAATCATACGCCAGAACATCTTAGTGGTATCGCTGTGTATCATTTGGACATTAGAATTAAATGTTGAAATAATATTGCTAGTTAAATTTAAAATATATAATTTGTATATATATATATTCGAAATAACGTAGGTCATCGTCATTGTCGTTGCAGTCGTCGTTGCAGTTGTCTTTTCGAATGCGTACCACTGAAATTTCTCGCGTGTTTCTTTTTTAGGTTTTTTTTTTGTTTTTTTTTATTTCAAAGATAATTTATTATTAACGCAATGGAAGAAGTAATGCGTTTTGAAACGTGGAAGGGCTTTTTTTATATCGCGAAAACGGAACTCGAAACACTCCACCACATTCCGTGCGGAGATTTTCTCGATGAAGGGGTCTGTGCACGATTTAGCGAATCATGCCGACAACCCCTAGGAATGACAAGATTTTTGTCCTCGATGATGGTCCAAAAATGATCGCCGATTAATTAGAAAAGGTATCCACGTCGCCTTGTTTTAACTTTCTTCGAACAACGTAAGAACGATACCTGTCGTTCTTGTCGTCGAAATGACATCGTTTGAATTTTCATTTCTATGATAAAAAAGCACCGTATTGGAAAATCAACGGATTCGCGTAGAATTACGAGAATTCGTGATTCGGACACGACGCTAAACTATTCTCAATGTTCTTCTCTCTTTTTTACTTCACAAATCTGTAGCCGATATATCGATCTTTGAACTTTGAAAAGCTATTTTGAATGATACGACGAAGGAAGGAAGCTTTTACATAATTTATGTAATATCATCGAGTGATTGCAATGAATATGCGAAATTGTCGAAATCTTACGCGTCGATCAAAACCGAGCTATCTATCGCGATAGATATCGTCTGATGCTCTTTGAACATAAAATTGAAAATAAAGTAAGATGCCATTGGCGCAGGGCGTCCGCGTGGCGAAAATTCCAACCACATCGCTAGTTACAGTCGTTACAGTATAGATACACTTATGTACAAGTGGCACCGCTACTTACGGAGCACGGACTATACGTACTTGCTGGACAATTGTTTGGCCAGCTCCGTATACTTGAGAAACTTAGAGTGTGGACTCTCCTCGAGAGGAGATGCCGCTGACTGGGATGGGCTGCCGTTTGCTTGCGGAAGAGGCGGCGACTTGTTGCGTTGGGACGTGGGTGGAGACGATGAACTGTGACTACTGGGGCCACCGGAAGCCGTTTGCGATGCCGCTGCGGCTGCTGCCGATCTTCCGATCGTCAATGGATCTGGGATGACGCCATCTTTCACGAAATGCATCTTCGAAAGATGATGCCTGTAGGCTCCTTTGGAAATGAACGGTGTGTCGCAGAAGGCGCACTTCATGATCGAGTCTGCCGTGACTACGGCGTCGTTACAGGCCCAACTAAAAGCTAAAATGGCTCCTGGAGTTGGCCCGGCACCTGGTCCGCCTGCACCTACCGAACTACCGCTTCCAGGAGCGATCGAACTACTGGAACCAGAAACGGACCTTGACGCGCCGCTTCCACTGGGACCACGCGTTTCGGTTTTGTCACAGAGTTTTTGAAGAGCTGCCAGTGGATGACTGCTCGTTTTTCGTCCTTGCGAATCCACTGTGTTACCGGTACCTCCTCCACCTCCACCGGATAGGCTATCGAACATAGAAGAGAGGGCACCGAGGCTACTGGATGCTTTCGTATCTGGTGTTCCTCTCGGGGTGACTGATCTATCGCTGCTGGTAGGACTGCTTGTACTGTTTCTGCAAGGACTACGAGCCACTTGTTCGACTTGGCTCGTCGATCTTGGAGTAGGTGGATTCATTCTAGGCGACTGAACTTCTCTACCTTCTTCCGCAGTCTCGTGAAGACTGCTTCGTCGGTGATTATACGAGGCTTGTTCTTCCTCCTCTCGACAATCGTCCACCACTTCTTTCTTAACGAACACCTCTCTCGACGGTTGTGTTTGTTGTTCTTCCTCATTCGTTCCTCTTTCATCCGTTTCCTCGTCCCTCGGTTCCTTCTTGACCACAACTGAGGTAGACTCCTCATCTCCGGACTCTTCCGCAGTCAAATGATGACGGGTTGGTACTGGCGTCGGAGTTTGTTTATCCGGAGTGACACGATGGTGATGAGAATGAGCGCTGGAATGCCTCTCGTGACCAACCGTAGAGAGATCCATACGTCTTTCTGGTGTCATCGTATCCGTTCTACCGCTTCCTCTCTCCGATATGGAACTGGATTCACTGCCGCTCCGTTCTCTCCTCGCAGCAGCACTCGCATTGTAATGCTGCTGTTGTTGCTGTTGATAAGACCGAAGAAGATTCATCGTTTGAGGATCTACTAGTGGCTTCGTATAATCCACGCTCTCGTCTATTCCTAATCTTTTAAGAATGCTAGTTCCCATAGGTGCACCTGGTTGTGCGTGATGCAACCCTGCCGTTCCATGTCTTACTCGAGAATCGAAGCTCTTCTCGATCAACTTCTCGATGGCGTTTAAGACGGAGGGCGAGGACGTGCCGGTGGTTTCGTTCGTGGTTGGCGTTGGAGTGTCCTTACCTGGTGTGGTAGCATCGCTAGCCGAGGAAGGTGATCGGTGATGCCTCGACGATACCGAAGAAGCATCCTCATTCACACTTTTACGGCCACTTTCGCTCGGTGGCAAAGTTGCTGGCAAGTGATTCGACATGAGTGCAGTTTTCAAAAAATTTCGTTGGTTAACTCCGACCGTTCCGGCTCCTATGCACTGACGTATGTGCTCGACAAAGATAGTAGTTTCAATTTTCTCTCCGCATTTCTCACAAGTGATTCTTCCTGCGTGTTTTCCAAGACTGTGGCTTAGGCCGGTCCCAGCATCGCCATTTTTAAACTCGTTTTGCGCTCGTTCCAATTCTAATAACTTTCTCACTGGCAATGATTTTTTTCTCTTCTCGCGCGTTTGTCTCCGACGACCACCGCTCTCGGTAATCGAACGCATTATGTGCTCTTTGTAGTGAGAGTTCTTGACCATATGATTACTTAACTCCTTCAGAGAACTAAAGGCTTGATCGCATACTTTGCAAGTTAGTACGGCGCTGACATGACTGCTGGCAGCTCCAGCGCCGGGACCACCACCAGTGTTACCACTGTGGGGACCGGTTCCTGTACCAGGTGGTACTCCACCCGTATTTCCTCCGCTTCCAACTCCACCTCCACTGCTACCACTGCTACCACCCCCGCCTTTGCTCTCATCAGAAGATTTCCAAGAAATAATTTGCTCTTGCGAAATGATGTTGGTATAATGTTGCGTTTGTTGCATATGCGAAGTCATTTCTGCAAGGGAACGGAAGCTCTGACCGCACCACATACATTTAAGAATCTGCCTGGTTTGTTCGGCACCTTTCCCAAGCCAAACGTCTTGACCTCTGACCAGCTTTCTAGGCAACGGCATAGTTTCCTTTATGAGAAGGTTCAACTCGGATGGACTTTGCTTGTTAGTTGGGGTAGCGGAGTTGTTGCTACCGGCGTTGCTTGTCGAAGTTTGCGGCTGGTGCGATTGTTGCGGCGGCGGTATCGTCGGCATCGTCGTTTGTTGGGGATGCAAAGCTGCAGCCGGTGGTGGTACGGGCATATTAACGCCGCAATGCTTCGCTTCCTTCATGTGCGACGTCATAGCGGCGAGCGTTGGGAAGCTTTGTTTGCACCATACGCATTTAAGAACATCTTTGGCCTGTTCCGCTCCTTTGCTCAGCCAATGAGATTGCCAAGCACTGTGACGACTACTTGATGTTGTGGACGGCGTGCTGCCAACAGAAGTGCCACCGCTACTGCCGCTGCACGAAGACGGCCTGAAAAGATCTTCGCCACCTAATTTGCTTAACTCGCTCATTTTTTCCAAAGCCTTGGTAGCTTCGCTGGGTTGATAGGATTTTTCAAGGGCTGCCGGAGGCTTCATTTTTCCGTTCCAAAGTGGATGGTGATCAACAACACCGCCAGTACTTTTCGGAGACAATTGTTGCTGACTAGTAGCTGCTGCTGCCACAGCTGCAGCAAAGTATGGAAAGTGCGAGGCCACAACCGGCGATGTCCACGGTGAGACTACCGGTGGCCTACCAAACGTAGATGGTGAACTGGTTGCCGTTACGTCTTGATGACCAGTAGATGCCGCACCGGCCAATCTCGAAGATTTACGGGGAGGTGGAGGCGAAGAATCTTCAGGTCCTGGTCGTTTCCTACTAGGCACCGACAAATCCAACGGACCGTTATTCGTTTCTGTCGAAGAGGATGGCGTTGGCGGCTTGCTGAGGTTCAGAATATGTTCTTCCTCCTCTTCTTCCGTTGAGGAAGCTTTTCTCGTGCTGAAGTCTAGAACGGCTGGCAATGGGGTTGCCGATGGTGAAACCTCACCGATGCTGCTCGGCGAGACCATGAGACCCGGCGTTGCTGCTGGTGGCGAACAAGAGGACGATACCAATGGAGATACTGAGCCTCGCGATAAAGGCGAATGTCCAAGGAGGAGCCGTTGATGTGTTTGCTGAAGATAAGCCGCCATCATTGCTGCCGAATGCGGTGGTAGAAGAGGATGAGTCCCAAGGGGTAGAGGCACGATACTACTTGGACTAACTGGACTCGCGCTGCTCCTTGTTGCTAAAGGTGGGGGACTTCCGGTCGCTGGACCGGAGGATTCCCGAGAATCTCTCGAGGGACAGCGTGGACTCATTTGTTCCCTGAAAGAATAACAGAAAGGGGTATTGAAAAAGAATGACTTGTGATATCCTCTTCGATTAGTCTGTCACATTCGTTCGACTGATCGCTGATTTCCAGAGATTTTGACGATTCACCTGCTTCTTAATCTCTCTTTCTCTCTCTTTTTCTTTCATCATTTGTGACTTTCCCCGTCTCTATGACCGATCTGTACAAAGCGCGTTCGATGCCACGAATCGTTCGTACCGGAACTCTCGACCGGACAGGCATCATTAATCATGATAACCGAGCGATAAATTTCTTGTAACTGATCCGCGAATACCGGCACAACGCAGGTGACGCCGTGACGTTAATATTTCATAACCGGCCGCCATGAGAATTACTACGTAAACAGCTTTCGCTGTTGCTGCACGATGGAAACGACGAATACCCGGAATCGGTGATGAATATAAGCAGAAAAAAAAATTCTCTCGTGATAGATAGAGCCTCTCTTGACGCTGGCATGTTTTGCGACGCAAACAGCGATGGATAATTCACGCTTGAAAACGCCTGTCGTTCTTAACTCTTCGTATCTACGTGAATATGAATGCGAATAAAAATACTGTAGTGCAACGGGAAAGAGACGATTCGTAAATGCCAGCCTTACCATCGCGTCGGTTCGTTGAACGCATAAAATGTGACCCGATATATGACATATAATACTGCATTCATTGTTTTCAAAAATACGAATCACATCTAAACGATGTATCTGTCTCCCCAATAAAGTCTATTAACATGTATCGCGAATGTACACCCAAGGTTGACGTGAGAAACGCGTGATAGAATAATTCTTAAACACCATAAAGAAAAAAAAAATTAAATACCTTACGGAACGTCATCCACGCATAGGAGAACGATCTATCTCAAGAAGTAAGCACGTGGTCGAAGCGCGAGCGCGGGTGTGGGTGCGCTCGCGTGTCCTCTCTAACTCTCTCTCTCTCTCTCTCTCTCTCTCTTTCTCTCTCTCTCTTTCTTTTTTACACTTGACGACGAGGTGTTCTCAACGCGAACGGAAGGGACACAGTAGAGCTGTCGACGGCTCGCTCGTAACTGACTCCTCCTGACTGAATGCCGAATGCGTGCCGCGAGATGAAAGGGGACCACCGCCACGCATGCAGGGGAAGTTTTTGGGGGCTGGCGGCTCGAGGGGAGGGGACATCACCTCCGGCCTTCGCCACGGCGTCCCTAGTTTAGTGAGCGAGGTGGAGGTGGCGATGCTGATGGAGGTGGAGGTGGTGGATGTGGAGGTAGAGGAGGCGTTAGCGGAGCAGTGGGTGCCTCTAACGGGTGCCGCTAGCAGGCTCCTCTTGTAGTTGTGTGTGTATGTGTATGTGTTGTAGGGCGGCGGCGTAGGACTCTCTTCGTAACACGTGCCTATCTCTATTAGCCGTGCGACGTTGCGCGGCAGCCACCGATATCAGCTCTGACACCAGCTTATTTATCCCTCTCCTTCTCTCTCTCTCTCTCTCTCTCTCTCACTCTCTTTCTCTCTCACACTTAACCTGCCAGTACAGAGCGCGCCCGACGAGACCCGCCGCTCTCTGACGATTTGTTGCGTTCAAACAAGGAACAGAGCGTAAAACACACTCATCCACGTACGTGAACACACAGAAGAGGGACCCAACGACGGCAACATCAAAGTGCAAAAGCACCGTACGGCTTCCCCGATGATTTAGGTGCTTTATTATCAAGTCTACGGATAAAGCACCGACTAATGAGTTTGAAACGCCACGATGTTGATCGTCCTCTTTCTCTCTCCCTCGCTAGAGCTCTGTGCCGCATCTAGTTATACGTACCATCATCTAAGTGTGGCTTTGTTGCGCGATTCCATTTTAAAGACTTCATTTTATAACTACGCCTATTTTCTTAATTAGCTACTATTCTACAAGACCAACATTGATGTTTGATAAGCCCTGTTCGAGATGTTCATAATTGTGCTAGAATAACTACGTACATTTGAATCAAAAATAAAAAGGTTTCAGTCCTCGCGTGATCAAGACTCTCCAGAGAATCCATCGTATCCCACGAGTGTCATTTTTGCCTGATAAAATAGTAACCTTGTTTCTTCGATTCAATACTGTTAGTGAGAGCGATCAAAATTGATAATACGCAAGTATGTCATTCCGAGAAAGTATTAATATATATATGATGGATTCAGGGATAATACTTGTTCCATTTAAATTATGCAATTTTTTCTTTTAGTCATTATCTGATGCTTCGAATTATATTATTCTTATAAACAGTTTCTATGCAAGATCTTAATTTTGTAAAATGTGATGAAACATGTTTTACCTATCTAACCTTCATTTCAGTGACTTATCTTTGATAAAAATATATATTAAAACATTAAAATACCTATCAGGTGGTCCAGTATCCCTCAAAATGGTAGGATTTAATCTCGCGGAAGCAGAAGTTGATGGTGGTGTGGCTGGTGATGCTTCCTCGTCATCCTCTTCGTCGCTGGCCTCACCATCGTCGTCTTCTTTGGCCGCAGGTGCACAACCTCTTTCACTAGGGCTGACTGGGCCATCCTCGTCGACGCAATCGCCTTCTTCGCCCTGGAGGTCCGTGCCAGGCCCTGAGCCTTCGACGCCGTCCTCCCCTACGATCAAAATCAAATGCACAAATTTATTTTTAAAGTTTTCATTCAAAGGATCAAAGGTAAATATGCAAATCCTAATACTTGTCACTACAATACATTGCACTTTGAACCTGATTATAATCGTAGCTACGATAAATTGTTAATTTTTATTAAACCTTCTTCCCCGATTTTTGCAGTTCTTGTCACGCAGTAAAACCTTTTCTTTAAAGTAACGTGTAGTGACTTAACAGAAAGATTATAGAAAATGTGAGAACTAGTATTTCGAATCGACGAAAAGAAAGTGTAGGTATCTTTTTTTTTTAAATCAATTAGCTCTTAGAATTGGCAGAGAAATCGTTAGAGGTTTTGATAATTTATAGAATATATATCTGGTGGCTGAAATCTTCGATATCGCGATTCCATCGACTGCAACCATCCGTGACAGAAAGGCCGTTGGAAACAGTGAAGTAGGACTTTCTATCATCTAAAGCATCGGGCACGAGGTGATTAAGTACGATAGAAGGAGAAAGGAGGAAGGTGGGAGGGAGGGTGGTAGGGGGCCAGAGAGCATGCGACCCGGTAGAGAGAAGACGCTCAGAAATGACGGAGCTAAGTACCCAGGAGTGATATAAAGGTGCAGATGGCGAGTAACACAATGGCACTATCGGTTCATTTATCAGCCTTTCGCGACGGCGCCGATGCCAACGACGACTAAGAACGACGACGACAGGGATGGCGTCGTCGACATCTACCGTACTCTACGATGAGAACGTTGGATACGTTCTCGACGATGACACTGTGCCATTGTGAATCGGTAAAGAGTAAGAAAGAGAGAGGGAGAGAACTTCCGTCATTTGCATTATGAGTTTTAATCAAATCATTTCCTTTTACAACAGAATCGACGAATCTACACAAAGATAGAGGGAAAGTTCAACTAGTAGGATTCATTGTCTTGCTTCTTTGACAATATTAATCGTGATTTAGCATTCGATTCGTTGGATAACGAAAGACTGTCAAAAGGTAAACGTTTTTCATGAGCCTACATTGAAAATGGAGGTAAGGGAAGTATAGTATCAACTGCAGTGGAGCGTCGAACTCGAGACGAACGATCGGAGGTCTTGAAACTCTCTTTCTCTTTTTATCCCTTAGAACCCTCGGAACCGACCGCCATCTTGAGAACGACGTGTCCACCTCCAGGAAGGGAGTGTCGTCGGTAGCGATCTCTTCTGGTACTCGTACGAGAGCATAAGAGAAGAGGATGAGTTAAGGAGAGAGAATGGAAGATAGTCAGTAAGGTAGCACACCTCCCTGATGCAGAGAGGGGGTGGGGACAAACCAGGAGCACCGTCCTACTTTGCCGACTGACCAACCAAACGATCGTTTGTTCGCGGATGGGCCACGGAAGAGGGAGAAGAAAGGAGATCGCACATTGATCCGTAGGAGCATCGGCAACTAATTACGCAGATTTATGTCCCCATTGTCCATTGTCTCTCTCCCAGAGCGGCCCTTCGAGAACCCAGAGCAAGACCGAGGACGACTCTTGCTCGGGAAACCAGCAGCGAACGCTTCGAGATCTCCTACTCGTGAGAGTGAGAGAAACCAACGGGGGTATGAAAAAAAGAGACAGGGAGAATGGGGGAGAGAAGGAGAGACAAGCACGACGACAACGACAACGACGAGGACGACGAAGAAGACGAGGACGACGACGAGAAGAGATAAAAGGAGGACCCTGAGGATCGCTTGGATTCAAGCTTGTTGCTGGTAGGGGAATGCAAGAACTTGCAAGAGGGTATGAGAGACTGAGAGAGAGAGAGAGAGAGAGAGAGAGAGAGAGAGAGAGAGAAAACGAGCGGGCGGGCGGACCACCGGCAAGCAGCCCCGCCCGCTTCGAATATCGTCTCTTCTTTTACCCTCTCGACTTGGTTCGTTTGTACTCTCGTCTACTACCTTTCTTCCTTCCTCTCTTCTTCTCACTTCTTCCTTCGTTCCATTCTCTATTTCCTCCTTACTCCTGCTTAGATCATTTTCCAGCTGTTTGGGCATTTAGTCATTTAAATATTCTCTTATTGATGAATTTTTTAGCTGTCTAATTTATGGATTATGTCAATGAATTGTTCCTTAAAAAATGAGGGGAACCCCTCGTTTAGGTTGCACTTATGTTATCCAGTTATGGTCAAGGTCACGGCAGATACCGAGAAGAGGATGCAAATGCAGCTAGCACGAAGAAATGTCGTGCGGGTCTTATTGGCAGGACGCTAACAAGGTGCACGGGGAGTTGGTTGGTTGGTTGGTTGGTCGGTTGGTTGCATATACCAGCACGGTGCAAGGTAAGATACGACGGGAACGTGGCGTACCGAGTTTTAAAGCGGTCCGAGCCCTGACACTCGACGAGATGTTGCCGTACGATATCCGTTCCTCCTGTCTTCGCAGCTATTTCAGCTGCTGGTACCTTGCAACTAACTAGTACTTACATTTGTACCTACCTATGAAACTTTAAACCTGTTTCCTTGTCTATGTCTTTCATTTTTCTAATAATATCCTTTAATCTCAACATTAATTAATTAACAAAAATATAATAAATAAGGAACAATAATTAATCTTATCAGGAATTATTTTGTTTGTATTATTCGGTTCTCATAGAGTCACACAAACTTTCGTAAATGCTTTTCCCCTCATCCACCTCCTTTTAGTTTGACCATTCCTCTGTCCATCTTCCGATAGAACATGTGCTACGAGTAGGTATATACCTATATAGGTGTGCAACACATGTTGCTATGTGAAACTGGTTAACTGCTTACCCGCTTGAGTATCCGTGGTGTTCGCGATACCGCGATCTAACTCTCTTGGCCGCGAGTTCTCCTCAACCGACGATAGTCACGCTCACGACTCATGGGGACCAGATCGTTCCTTGCTAATTGCCAGTAACCCTGTTCATAGCATCAACCTTTTCCTTCCACTCGAAACGCGATGGACACTCTAAAGTTTCTCTTTTTAAACGTGACGTGTTTCGATCTACTTCTAAATATTTCTTTTTATTCAAAGTACTTCCTATTTTATTTGTTTCAATTTAAAATAAAGTATTTGAAATAGTAATGTTACTTGCACAAGACCTGGTAAAGAACTAAAGTATGACTACTCGAAGTTACACTAGGCACGTGTCCAAGCGATAAAAAGAAATTAAAAAAAAATGACAGAGAACAAAGATTAGAAAAGTACCCGTCTTTTATGCTTTATAATAAGTCCACACAGATGCGTGACTTGAATCACATGAATGATAAAATACGCAATAATGTTAGTGAATATTATCTTCCGATCGTATGATGATAAGATCTCCGAAATTATCGAAGTGATGTTATAAAACAAAACACTTATTAGATTTCAGCATGGTTTCAAAATATTCGCTACGTTTTCCAAGCTATTAAAAAGATTTGAAAAATGTATGGAGTTGATGTGTCCGACAAGTGAATTCCACAGGATGCATCCTCCTTAGCGTATACGTAAATCACAGGGATGACCAAGACGTATACATTAACGTGTTTAAAAGCTCGCGGTAGTGAGCACATAGCACGACGCCTTGATTTATATGACCTTCGGAAGTGCTAAATCAGTTTCATTTAACGGTAATTAGACTCACTAGCGTAGTCATACTTTTGCACTCGCAAAAATTTACGACACTGCCGAGAGGAGAGTAATGTTTAGTTATTTGCGAGACACCTTATCGAAAGAAAGGGGATTATTTAAGCGATAAACTTGTTGAAAGATAAATCAGCTTCTTTAAAAAAAAAAAAAGAAAAAAAAAAAGAAAACCAAACGTACGCTTATTTCTGCAAAGATCGTTCGGTACATTTCGATATCAAGCTAAATTACAGGACCGCAGAAGAAAATAAGTAAAATAATATCACCATTTCGTCCATTCGAATAATCTTTATACCAAATCTCTAGGATATTCTATTACGAGAAGAAAATGAAGTTATTTGTTTTTCGTCTCTGTGAGCAAGAAGTCAACCAACCAACCAACCGAGCGATTTGCGAATGGAGGAATATAAAAGAATTTAATTTTCCCTCCCATAATAACTACTCAGAGATTAACTCGGGAAAGTCCTGGTTTGATTTCGTCGAATCTTTGTAAGCATCATCGTTCCTTCGTTATGTCATTCTCACGTCTTTTCCTACCGATTGTGTCAAAGACACTCGTTCTGAGATATCAAGTAAAATACTCTGTTTGATAAAGGGAAATAAAGAAAGATAAAGAAGAATAGAAAGAAGGGAATAGGATCACCGTAATAAGAGATATCTTACGTCCGTAGAAATGAAATTTGCGAATAAACGTATCGAAATTAGATAGCTTAGCAGGTTGCAATAAAACAATACATAATAAGCCGGCGGCGTTGGAGCAGCAGCAGCAGCAGCAACAGCTACGGCAGTGGCAGCAGCGGCAGCGGGAACGGTTCTCTACAGTCGCGGCCGCGGCAGAGATGGAACAAAAGGAGACTGGAGGAGGACAGGAGAGGAGATGAATTTCTGATGCGAGAACCCGTCGGGAGGCTGGCGAGGAGAGTGACAGGAGGCAGACGAAGAGACGAACGGATGGACAGGCAGACAGACGGATGGACGGACGGACAGACGGGCGGACGGGCGGACAGAAGGACGAGGATGAGGATGAGGAAGAGAAGGAAGGGGGAAGAGGGAGAGCATCTGCATTGTGATTCTCTCGCGGTCTGCCAGAGAGTGACTGACGGGTGAATCCGTTCTCCTTCCTCCATGCGTCCCACCTCTTCTCCTCCTCCTTTCTCCCTGGGCACTTCTTCCTCTCGAAACCCAGTGCTACAGCTACGCCAAGATGTAGGTAGTACCTACCTATCTACTGAACAAGAATGAGAGAGAGAGAGAGAGAGAAAGAGAAGATTTCTCGGCCAGCGCGCCATTTCATGATTTTCCTGAATCGTATGTTCACATTCAGCTTTCATTTCTTTTCACTTTATTTCTCCCACTTGGTTCGCTCGAGCGCTTGGTATGAAACG